GTGTCGATGTGAGCGAAGTTTAAAATATAGTTATCATATTGTCTTAAAAAGGCAGAAAAATGTTCTTTATATCTAAGAAGAACTTTAATTAATTTATAAGTACTATTCCACTGAATAGACAAATCTTTAGGAAAAGCAACATATTTCACACCTCTTTCAATCAAATAATTTTGCCATTTTAATTTAAGTTGACCATTGCCCCAAATACGTCTAATCCCCCCCCCCCCCGACTACTTCCATAGCATCTCCTAACGCTTTTATACTGTCTTGCACACATAAATTTATAATATGGCATGCACATCGTTGATGAAAAAATCTACCCATCATAGTATTAGAACCACACAATTCACGCAATCTAGGTATAACAGCAGTACTATTAGTAGCATTATCAAAACCTATAGCAAACACCTTATCAATCAAATTATAGTCAGTTAAAATACGTTCAATCAAAATATAAATATGTTCAGCGGTGTGACGATCATTAAATTCACGAAAAGCAAGAACACGTTTATGCAAATTCCAATCATTATCAATAAAATGTGCAGTCAGACCCAAATAATGTAAATTATGATAAGTATCCTCCCAAATGTTAGAACAAATAGTAACACGGCCATCAAAGTTTGCAAAAAAAAATTTGTAACCTATCCTTTTCCGCATGATAAAGCCTTATAATTTCTTTCCTAACCGTTTTGCGACTATAAGCTCTAAATTGAGGATTTAAACAAGTTTGTGCATAATCTTTAAAAGCAAGACTTTCAGAAAACAAATAAGGCAAATTTTCTTCAACAATTAAGTTAGCCATACCAGTCAAATTTTGTGCATCATTGCATGAGAAATTACCAAAAGGTTGGTCATTTGCAAACCTCGATATTTGAGTTTGCTTCTCCTTGCCTTTGTCTATTTTCGCATACTCCACAAAGTGCGCGGACTTAAGATGCCTTTTGAGGCTCCCGTATCCGCCGGAAGTTCCCAAGCTATACTACTTCTTGCAATGATTGCAACTTGCGTACCATTTATCGGTTGTTTTGTCTTTCCTCTTTGTAAAATTATTTTCTATAATAGGAGATTTAGATTTCTTACCAATTTGGGATGAACCGCCCTCGTCCTCCAATTATTGCTCATCATCCGGGGTGCCGTGAATCTCGTCGCCCCCCTCGTCCTCCTCCGCATCGTCATCCTCGAGCTCCTCTTCATCAATGGACTCCGGGATGTTTTGTTGTTGGAAAAAGCGACCATCATTTTGCGCCAATAGTTGTTGTAGTTTCTCGTCGGACATCGCATCCCCATCTCGTCTTTGGTATCCCATTTACAAAATTTGTCCCCAGCTTTATATTCATTTGGTTTTAAACAGTCAAAGTGTGATGCTCACTACTGTTCTACATCTCAACAACACTAAGATCTTTGTGCTCATCTATGTTGATGATATTCTGATTCTTGGAAACAATACTACTGTCATTCAGCAACTTATTCACAGACTTGACTCCAATTTTGCACTAAAACACTTGGGTGAACTTGACTACTTTTTGGGAATAGAGACTCATAAATTATCTGATGGAAGTTTGCATCTCTCGCAGACCAAATATATCAGGGATTTGTTAGATAAGGCTGGGATGAAAGACTCTAAAGGCATCACCACACTTATGCTCAGCAGTTGCAGATTACTAAATGAGGGTTCCAACTATGTCGGTGATGCTACACTTTACAGGTCTATTGTAGGAGCACTACAATATGCCACCTTAACCAGACCTGAAATTAGCTATGCAGTCAACAAGGTATGTCAGTTCATGGCATCACCTCTGGAAGATCATTGGAAGGCAGTGAAATGTATTTTAAGATGCCTATCTGGTACTCTTAAACATGGTCTTCTTCTGCAACCTATAATTTCCAAGTCACCTGTTCAGCTAAGGGCCTTTTGTGATGCAGATTGGGCCTCAGATCCTAATGATAGAAGATCTACATTTGGAACCTGTGTATTTCTAGGATCTAATCTCATATCTTGGTGGTCAAGAAAGCAGCTGTGTGTAGCCAGATCCTCAGCTGAAACAAAGTACAGAAGTTTAGCTGATACTGCAGCAGAGATCATATGGATTCAATACCTTCTTCAGGAAATTCAAGTACTATGCTCCATTCCTCATATCTATTGTGACAATCTCAGTGCTGTACATATAGCTCAGAATCCTGTTTTCCATTCAAGAATCAAACATATGGAGCTTGACCTTTATTTTGTCAGAGAGAAGATCATTCATAAGAGACTTGAAGTGAAGCATATTCCTGGTCCTTATCAAGTTGCTGATGTGCTAACTAAACCACTTTCACCCTCCAGATTTATTGAGTTGAAAAACAAACTCAGTGTGATGGATTTAACAAAGAAACCACACTGAGTTTGAGGGGGGGGGGGGATATTAGGAATATAGTTTGTTCGATATATACCTAACTAACCGACTACTATTAAGTCATCCGTATAGTAGTTAGTTCTAGCAGTTTCTATATCATTTCTACAAATAGTATGTAAAGTGGTTTACACATCAATAATATCATTTGAGCATTTCTTCTGAATTTTGTTATACTCTGTTTATCAATAAAGCTAAACAAATTTTTCAGTGTCCTCGCTTGAGATTAATCCACAACCTAACAATATGGATTGGACGTGATGATTAACACTGATGAATGGTGCAAATGGCATGACATAGAGATTAGTTAGATAAGTGGTGTTAAATGCGATGACATCTCCAAAGTCTTTATAAGCATATCTACAATTATTTTCGGCCCAAAATACATTTTTCAACCTTGACTCTTCATCTAAATCAACGGTAAAAAAAATCGGGGCATTGCGATTGCATTCTCTAAAAAAAACCTCGGATTGCCATTGCATCACCACTTCCTAATCGAACTTGGCATATTTTATTTACGTAGTACTGAAAATCCTTCTCAATAAAAGGCAATTGATCATATCCACCCGCTTGAACAACCGCCGAGTTGAAACTTTTGTGAAGCGGCATTCCGGAAAACATCATTTATTGCTAGTTGTCTCTTCATTTGAGGAGTAAGCTGTCTATTGCAACGAAATATTCTTGACTTTGTAGGACTCATTTCATGGTTATGTTCTAAATGAACTTTGAATTTCCCATGACCCGACATAATCAAAATGTGCTTTAATTCTTGCTAAGCATTGTGATTGCATTGAAGGGTGGGGTTTGAAACAATTTTGGGACTTGCTACATCTACGCCCCGCACGAGAACGCTCTATTACTACTCTCACTAAAAATCCTCCACTTTTGTCTTTGATTGATGTTCTTTTTCATACACGAAATCTGATATATTTCTAGCATATTTCGCATAAAAATCATACACTTCTTCCATGCTACAAAACTTTATGCCCACTTATGGAGCTTTAACATTGTTGTTATCTCCCTGTCCATCTGTTACACAATACTCATATTTACATTTTTGTGTCTCTAAACACAAACACAGATAGTAGTTGTCTGCAGTAAACAGACAATATTTGTCTGTATATAAACATTAATTAGCTGTTTGTCTATACTAATATTTATAATACGTCTTTTAAGAACTCTTTTTCATAGATAAGCCATGCATGTACACATGGATTGCATTTCCAACTTGTATTTGTGTTCACATTAATACAAGAAACACCATAAACACCTTTTGCACACTATTTATCTGTACACAATCATTAATTAGTTGTTTGTTTATACTAATATCTATTGTACGTCTTTTAAGAACTCATGTTCGTAAATAAGTCATGCATGTACACATGGATTGCATTACCAACTCGTCTTTGTGTTCATATTAATACAAAAAACACCATAAACACCTTTTACACACTAATTGTCTGTATGCAGATATTAGTTGTTCGTGTATATTAGTTGTATGTGTACACATCAATTACAAGTCATCTGTGTACACATGGACTGCAAGAAGAACTCATTTTCTTTTTCAAAAAAATACAAAAATTAAGAGAATACACAATAAACACCTTCTAAACAGCTACCTAAATCATACATGACGTCCATGTTCATGTTCAATCGTTCCCTATTGTTTACAGTGGTAATACCATCCCCTGTTGCCGTCGTTGTTCCCATCAACAAGTCTTCATACCCATGAAAAAATGGACCCTTATAATAGGAGAGTGAAGAGGGTGATGTCACTGATATCTACCAAGGAAGCTTGGAGAGGAAGAAGAATAATACGGAGTAAAAGAAAGAGAAAGTAAAGAAGCATGTGTAGTGTGGTGTGTGAAGGGGGTAAAATTTGGTTAAAAAAAATCTTTTTATAGTATGTACACATATGTGTAAATGTGTGTGTACACTAAGCCCAACTCTTAATAAATTTGCCCTTTGTTACGTGAGTTACGCTAGGTGTACATATCTTTTTTTACAATCAAAACAGATGACTTAAATTCAAATCACACCATTCAGATAGGGGTAAAATGACAAAAGATCCACATGGCAACCGCCAACCCTCATAATAGACTTAGAGTTAATCAACTCCAAAAAAGCAACATAACACATTGATGCACTTGGTGTACACATTTTGATTTACACTTTTGTACGCTATTTGTGTGATACAAAGAATTATTTATAGGGAAAGTTCCTGAAATGGGACTAAAAAAAGTTTGAAAATTCCAAAATAGGACTGTCATGTTTTTATTCCCAAAATAGGACTAATTACTGCCAAATTTGGAAAATACTGCCATGTTTGAAGTCTGGTACTGCCAAAACATGACAGTAATTAGTCCTATTTTGGGAATAAAAACAGGGAAGTCCTATTTTGGAATTTCCAAACTTTTTTAGTCCCATTTTGGGTAATATCTCTTATTTATACATGTACAACTTCTGTGCAACTGAGGTAACGATTGACTTTACAAATTTTCTTGTCACGTATCATCTCACCAACCCGCGCTTCTCGCGATGGCATCATCAATCCCTCACAAACCTGGCCTACCAGTGACAAATTTCCAAGAATTCTGAGTATATATATTTTCAGAGTCCTCAACAGATTTGAAGTCTCACACACACTGCATTCTTTTGCCCTTTCACTCAAAAGATTGCAAGATTCTCTTCAAGCAAACAAATAGGGGACAATGGAGTGCGAAGGAATTCTCTTGGGGATGGGTAACCCACTCCTCGACATTTCTGCTGTCGTCGACCATGAATTCTTGAACAAGTATGTTACACTGAAATCCAATCCTTTCGATTTCTCATGCTTCCATTGTTTTTGTTTCAATCTCTTCTACCTTTCTCTTCCTTTCTGGAGGATCGACTTTGTGATGTGTTGTCTGGATTCCTAGATCTGTCTGAATCTCTAGATCTCTTATTTTAGCTTGTTGCGCGCTTGTATCGTTTGATGACTTTGATCTTTAATTCATGGATCCTATTCGGTAGAACCTGATGCTGTTGTTGTTAATATGTATTGATGCTGTCGTTTTCTGTGGGGCTTGTTTGGCATTGACATCTTCTTTTGACTGATAGGTACGATATCAAGCTGAACAATGCAATTCTTGCCGATGAAAAGCACTTGCCTATGTAAGTATTTGTGCTCTTTAATCACCTGCAGTTTTGCCCGCCTCATTACGCTTTTAGTCCCGAATAGGAGCTGAATGTAGAAGACAATCTCATGCTCATCTTAAGATAAGAAAGCAGGATCAAGATGTGAACTTGTGAATATATTACTTGAGCCAATTGTGGGAGGATGGGCCATTGACCAATGACAGTATAATACTATGGATCATGTACTGTGATGATTGTTTAGGTGCTTTTAAGTTTTAACTGATGCTCTTAGACTTGTTTGTTTGTCAGGTATGAAGAAATGACATCTAAGTACAATGTTGAGTACATTGCTGGAGGTACAGACTTTAAAGTTCAAGAGATGGTTTATCACGTTCTTCTGTTATGTTTCAGTCGGACTTTTCATTTACTTTGTTGGTTGTTAATTTTGTATTGCAGGTGCAACGCAGAATTCAATCAGGGTTGCTCAGGTATCACATTATTATTGCAGTCTATGGTTATGGTTATGACAACTGATTGACAATAGCTAGTTGTGTCAGCTATTTTAGTTAGATGATAATGTTAGCTGATTGTCAGCAAATCTCTGGTAAATTAACTGTTCAAAAATAGTTGTTTGCGTGTAAAAAGACATAAGGACATTGTATTCAATTTTATTTTTGTTGTTAAGACCTACTCCAGTACGGCATACATCTATGGAGTGTCATAGTTTTCAGGCAGGTCTAGATATTTTTTTCTCTTGATCATACATTTTCCCCTTTTTTATACCAATGGCTCAATTATTCAAACGGTCGATCATGAAAGCAGGCCTCCCTTTCGTAAATTTGTGCTTTGGGTTAGTCAACTAGTCAATGTTGGTGGGTGAGCCATGCTCCTTATCTTCGCCCACATTAGTAGAGTTATGTGTATGCACAAGCTTTTCAGATTATAAACAAAAACAAATGTTAATCCTTCCTCATATATATATATATATATATATATATATATATATATATATATATATATATATCAGGCTGTAACTATAGTTAATACGTAGTACATAGGAATTTCAACACCAACTTCAAAGCCTATTAAGATAGAAAGAAATAGAGGAACAAAACATAGAATGAACACACAGAGCATGTAGCCAATATAGAAGAAAAAAACAGAAAAGGATGCAAAAATTAATAAGAATACAAACCTCTTTGTTTCTTTATGGCTGGAGAATACTCTTCTACGAAGGATTTGTAGATGGCAGAAGATTTCCTGAAGCTGAGGCACTGCCAAAGAGTAAGAAGACACGAAGGAGGCAATAGATACTATCTATATGAAGAGGTGTGAAATCAGAGGGTACAAAAGGGATAAAACGGAACAGCCAACTTGAAACGCTGCCCTCCCTAGCGTTTGAGATTTCAGCTTTTTGGGTCCAACAAGCTAAATCAACCATCTGTTTACTAAACAAACCAAAAATTGGCTGATAAGCCATTTACCAAACATGGCCTAAATTGAATTTACTTTCGATTATTGACTTCAATAAGTCTCAACAAGCATGTTCAATTCATAATCTGTAAATCTGTATTCTGGATCTACTTAAAAATGATGTAAGGTTTACCAAACTGACTTTTTGTATAGATTAAAGAACAAGTACAAAAAAAAGATTAAGATATACATACAACCCGTATCTTGCATTTTTGCAGTGGATGCTTCAAAAACCGGGTGCCACCAGTTTCATGGGTTGTATTGGAAAGGACAAGTTTGGGGAAGAGATGAAGAAAAATGCAAAAGAATATGGTGTTAAGGTAAAATTTTCCTCTATTTTATTTTATGGGGCCTATTACTACCATATATTTGTTGATTAAACAATTTTAGTATTCCAACTATCTGCTGTTTGCCTTGAGTCTGTTATCGTTGATGATTCATATTGTTTTACGCTTCGACATGTTCAGGTTCACTATTATGAGCATGAGACTACGGCAACAGGTACTTGTGCTGTTTGTGTGCTTGATGGTGAGAGGTAAGCAATGTTCAAAAATCAAAATTACATATTGCATAGTCGTGGGCCTCGTGGCCGTTTTTAAAAAATTGAATATTGTGTAAGCCTTGCTGCGCAATGAAACATAGGAGTGAGGCTTAACATATATACATATGTGTGTGTGTATACAAACAAAATAAAAACTAAAACAACTTATTAATCAAAAGTCATCAAATGTCATATTAAAATCTAAGTAGCAGCGGGATAGAAACGGTAATAGGGAAACTCTAATCTCAAAATATCAAGATACGAGTATGACATAGGAATGTCAAACTAAATATTAATATTAATATTTTACTAATAAAAATAGATAACCATTATATGAGGTTATGTTTATGTCCAAAAAATATGTTTATGTTTCTACTCTTCAAAACCACATTTTTTCTAATGTGATACACAAAATATGGCTACTGTACAGGTCTCTCATAGCCAACTTGTCTGCTGCAAATTGCTACAAGTCTGAACATTTGAAGAGACCTGAAAATTGGGCTTTGGGTATGCTTCATTTCACTATGTCCACCTTCTACATTCTTTATTTACATTTTATTAACATTTATTGCTGGATTGTTTACATTAGTTGAGAAGGCCAAGTACTACTACATTGCTGGATTCTTCCTTACTGTTTCCCCGGAATCCATTATGCTTGTTGCTGAGCATGCAGCTGCCAACAACAAGGTATGATTCAATATTTGAAGGCTGAATTTGTTAATACATATTTGAGAATGTGACTAATATCTGAGTGCCACACATTGATGTTTGATTACTTATAGTTGTTCATGATGAACCTTTCTGCACCATTTATTTGTGAGTTTTTCCGGGAAGTACAAGAGAAGGCATTGCCGTAAGTCATATATTTCTTAGTTTAAAATAATTGATTCGATAAGTGGCAACTTATATTGATTTTACTATTACTGTTTCGGATGTTCAGGTATGTGGACTATATCTTTGGAAATGAGACAGAGGCAAGAACCTTTTCTAAAGTTCATGGTTGGGAGGTAATGCTTGTTTTTGCATATCATTTTCTTCATATGACCTTTTAGGGTCAGCTGGGAACTCAGAAAATTGCAAGCAAAAAAAATCAAATAACCTACAACAGCAATACCATTCAAGCCTTCTTCCCAAAAGATTTTGGGGTTGTCTAACATGAATCGGTCCATGATATCGGAGTAAAAAAACACAAGGTAAGATAAAAAGTATAAGATAAAGATTTATATAAATATAAGATAAAAGAGCATATGAAAGATAAAAAGTAAAAATAACATAAGAACATTGATAGATACTCAAGCAAACAGTAGAAAGTAGTAATTTATTGATGAAGTTTTCAGAACTTTAACGGGAATACAGTAGCGTCGACAGAAATAAGAGAAGAAATAGATCAAGACATTTCGAGTTGTCTCAACTCTCTTTTATTTCTATATATAGGTCCTGCCTTATTTATTCTGCCCATAGTTACAGAAATCGCTAGACATGCCACGATCTGCGTTCAATAGGGCTTCTGCCTATGATATGTAATAGGTCTTCCTTCCTGCATTAGTACTGCTACTATTCCTTTGCGTGATGCGTCAGTCTCGACTATAAAGGTTTTATTAAGACAGGAAGAGTAGTCATTGCTCTCTTCAACTTTTCAAATGCTTCTGTGGCTTGTTGATTCCATATGAATGCTTCCTTCCTTAAGAGGTTAGTCAGAGGTGCTGCAATTCTGCTATACCCCTTAACAAACTTCCTGTAATACTCTGTCAGACCTAGGAATCCTTTGAGCCCGTTAACATCTTTGGGTATTTGCCAATTCAACATGTCTGCAATTTTTGATGGGTCTGCTGCCACTCCTGATATGATATGCCCTAAGTAAGACAGTTCAGATTTCCCAAAGCTGCATTTCTTTCTGTTAACATACAATTAATGTTCTTCAAGAGTTTGCAAAACTGTTCTCAAGTGCCCCTTGTTCTTCCATGGAGGTGCTATAAATCAAATAATCTATATATCATTGAAAAAAACCAATACGAACTTCCTCAAATAAGATCCCAACACTTGGTTCATGAGGGCCTGAAAGGTTAAAGGAGCATTCGTGAGACCGAAAGGCATGACAAGGTATTCATAGTGGCCTTCATGTGTTCTAAAAGCTGTCTTACGCACATCAGATTCTTTCATCCGGATTTGATGATATCCTGACTTCAGATCTAGCTTAGTGGCAGCAACTCCTCTATCACCGGTATAGGGAATTTGTCTTGCACAGTTATCTTGTTCAAGGCTCGATAATCCTCACAGAATCTCCAGCCCCTTCTTTCTTTCTTGCCAATAACACAGGGATACTATAGGGGCTGGTGCTGGGCTGAATTATTCCGGAGTTCAATAATTCTTTCACTATTACTTCAAACTCATTCTTCTGGTAGTGTGGGTACCTGTATGGCCGAATATTGGGAATTGTTGCTCCTTTGTTATCGATAGAGTGATAAAAGTCCCTGTTTGGAGGGAGCCCCCGTGGGATCTGAAACAGCTCCGAATATTCCTCCACCAGTACTGTTAACAAATTCTCAGGCTCATCTTTTCTACTTTCTTCCTGGGGTCGTAAAATGCAGGTGAGATAATAGCCATGTCCTTGTTGCATGGTTTTGAGAAGTGTTTTCCATGATACTTGAGAATGGCCCAGATTAGGATTCCCTGGCACTCTCATCTTCTGTCCATCTTCCTTCCAATTCAGAGTTGATTTCTGGAAGTTAAATTGCACATCTCCCAACCGAGTCAACCATTCCAGCCCTAGAACCATATCTGTTCCTCCTAGTTCTAGGATATAGAAATCTTGGTTTATCACTAAGTCCTGCACCTTCACTTTCAACCCAGTACATATACCATTAATTCTGATTCCCAATTCTACCTGAAAACCTCCAATCTGTTTGAAGGGTAGGGCCAGCTAATATATTAAGCCCTGTGATATAAAATTGTTAGTGGCCCCACTATCAATCAAAATCACCACAGATCTGGCCTCCTCTCTGTCTTGAAGTTTCCCTTCCACTTTAAATGTTCTCTGAGTAGTGATTCCTTCCTTGCTTATTACTGGCAACTTGCCAACTTCAATGTTTTATATTCACCAGCATCTTCCTCTTCCTCATGATGTTCTTCCTCTGTACTGGCAGTTTCCTCTTTTCCTTCAGGTGGTTCCAGGAGTACAAATTGATAATGCTTCAATTTGCCTATGTGCTTCTTGTTCCACTTATCTCCACACTTGAATCAAAGTCCCTTCTTAGTCCTTTCCTCCAATTCAAATTGGGACAGCCTCTGACCATTCTTCCACTAGTGTTAATTAGTCCTGAATTCTCGACTTTAGTTTCTGAGATGTTCCTATCTGTAGCAAGGGAAACCGTGGTAGAGTTTTTGTTCCTGTTTCCTTCCATCCAATTCAGAGGCCTGACTAAGCTTCTCCCTTGTCTTTCCAACCCCTTTTGTCTTCCTCTTTGTACTTTCCCTCCTCTCCAGGCTTTGTTTCTTTCTACCAACAGTAGTGCCTGATCCATGAGTTCATCCAATGATCCATCATAATACATTTTAAGATGAGCACTTAGCTCCTCCTTTAACCCATTTAAGAATATTCCCTTCAACATTACTGGACTGATATCTTTCTGAGTTGCTATTACTGACTCAAAGTTCTCCCAAAATTCCATCACACTTCCTGTTTGCTTCACGCTCAGCAGGGCTCCGAAGGCATTTTGCACCAATTCCGGTTGAAACCTCCGGATTAAGGCTTCCTTAAACTCTTCCCAATTGCTCTCGGCATTTTGCTCCTCCCATCGGTGAAACCAGTTCGATGCTCGACCTTCCATGGCTACCATAACCACTGGAACTCTGTCTTCATCCGATATGTTGTTCAGCTTAAAAAACCTTTCAGCCCTGATGATCCATCCATATGCCTCATCTCCACTGAATACCGGTAGATCTACTTTCCTACCGGTTTTCAATAAAGCATGACTATCCACTTTCTCGAATATGGAGTGCGATGAACGGGAGTGATGGAAATTACCTCCGTGCTTTGAGGATTTCCGACTCTGTATGGATCGTCTTCTTAGATGTGCGTGATCTTCCTCGCGAGTGGTGCTGCTTCTGGTTCGTCACCAGATTTCTCAGCTCGTCCATCGTCACATCCATCATCGCATCCATCCTCTGTTCCACGTTCAGCATCCAGTTCCGCATTTCATCTACTGTCGGTCGCAGCTCCTAAAAGCTGTGTTCCATCGATTCCACTCTATGTTCCATTCGTGCTCTAGTCCTGATCATTCACCGATGGGTTGTTTTGCTCTGATACCAATGATAGATACTCGAGCAAACAGTAGAAAGTAGTAATTTATTGATGAAGTTTTTAGAAATTTAATGGGATTACTGTAGCGTCGACAGGTAAAGAGAAGAATTATTTCTATACCTAGGTCGAGAGAAAAAATTTTAAGAGAAGACATAGATCGAGACATTTCGAGTAGTCTCAGCATTCACAGGTCGAGACTAATTTCTGCCTACACTCCTCTTTTTCTTTTATTTCTATATATAGGTCCCGCTTATACCACTAGTCCCGCCTTATTTATTCTGCATTTCTGCCCTACTCCTCTCCTTACATATACTTTATACAATTTTTAATAGTATTATTATTAGGTATTCTGCCTCTTTCTAAATCTTCATCATCAAGAAGATAAAAAGATAAAAGAAATAAGGAGAGAAAAAGAGAGAAAACAGATCAATCCTTCACACGAATATTTGCCCACCTCCACTCTGCTCTCTCCCAAATCATATTCTCATCCAATCCAAGAGAATATCACCCTTGGTTCATCTAATTCGTGTTTGTTTGAGTCTTCATGTTTCTCCTCCCCACATCTCAACTCGTCTAATATGTGGATTATTTGGTCTTCTTTGCACCTACCAAATCACTGTAATTGAGACCCTTGCATCTTATCTTCTATAGGTGCCATAGTTGTCACGGAGGCAAGGCGAGGCGCGACACCAACCGACCACCTTATCGCCTAGCCCGCCTAGATGACAACTAGGCGACGAGTCGCTCATATATAATATTTAAATATAACATGTAATAAAATAATATATTACAGATTATATTAAAAACATATATGAAGCAATGGATTATGTTTCTAGAAAAATGTCCAAATATGAATTTTCGCAAAGAAAATAACATATAATAGGTAATACGCAATAGTATAGCAGGCGTTTGGGACCATAGAGTGAATTTGATAAATGGTATGCAGCTCGACTTGACTTAGAAGAAAGAGTAGGAGAAGTTTACTCTACATAAACAGTGTACATAAAAAATAGAAAAATGCATAATACATTTAGAAATATGGAGTCTAGCTGTCTGCCTAACCAAACAAAAGCCAAAAAATAAAGAACAACTAGCGAATTTAAAAACGGAAACGCCAACCAAGAGAAGTAAATGGAGGCAGAGGTGGAGCAACTGCACTATACAGCGATTTGAGGCGGCGACCTGCGGCAGCGACTCGACTAACAGGATGAACTGTTGCTGGGCCTAGGGTTTTGGCTCGCAGATTAATTTTAAAACTCAACTTTTTCTCTAACCTAATATTCTGTGTTGAAGTGGCAAAAACAGGCATTGGGCGTTGCCATCAACGACTTGGCAGCTTCAGGAGAGTCGAGTAAGCATGGCGCCACTTCTCCACAGCTAGGACGGCTAGTGGGCGCCGAGTTGGCATGCCTTCACCACACAAAAATCCTAATGCACTTTTCCATTTCACCCACCTTGTTTTGATTCTATGGAATATATCTTCATGAAGTTCACCGTCCTTCTGAAGATGATTATCTCCTTGCCATAGGTTTATCTCACTGTTACAGTTGAAGTCTTGAAGATGGGTTTCGAACCCCTCTGGGAAGAATTCACATGCATGAAGTTTATGTTTCCGCTGGGCCAAAGTCATTCAAAAAAATCAAATAATCTATAGAGGATATTTGGAAGGAAAGCAAATTTAGGGGGAATAATGACTACGAGATCTATATACAGTTAAATGTAAAAATAAATTTAAAAACTAGCAATTTTGTCTTCCTTCATTTCCTAAGGTAAAGTCAAGCATTAAAATATTAATTTTCTAACCAAAAGTCTTCCTTTCCCTACCATATCCCAGTTTCCATGCTTGGCTTCAGTCATTCTATATATGCTTCTAATTGTTTTGTTTTTCTAAAGCAGACTGATAATGTTGAAGAAATAGCACTCAAAATCTCACAGTGGGCTAAGGCATCAGGAACACACAAGAGGATCACTGTCATCACTCAGGGTGCAGATCCAGTTGTCGTAGCAGAGGACGGGAAAGTGAAGCTGTATCCTGTGATAACTTTGCCGAAGGAGAAACTTGTTGACACTAATGGTGCAGGTTTGTGTTTACATCTCTGCCTGCCTGTGTGTTGATCTTTTAAAAGTGAATGCAAATAGGAAAATTGACATAATTTGGGTGGTATGCAAGAGGTGTTTATAAGTTAAATCAAATGATTTTTTAAAAGATAATCTATATATTTATTACTCCCTCCGTCCTGTTAAGATTGTCTTAGACACTATTCACTTGGTCAACACAAATCACTCTTAATCTCTTATTTTATATATCAAATTTTATCAAATTTGATTTTGGATTTTAGATTTTGTAAAGTTTTCAATGTAGTTTTTGAATATGTAATTTTTTTCTAAAAATAATTTGAGTGCGGACAGGGATCTGTTTGCTTTATCGTCGGTCAAGCATCGTAAACCAAATTGTCCCAAACATAGTGGGATGGAGGTAGTATTAGAAAAAGAATGAGCTCCACTTTTGGTTTTACGAGTATTGTACCAATCCCGCCATTGGTCCACATATTTGATTTTGCCCACTTTTGTTATGTTACTTGTTTCTTACTCACCTTTGGTCCTTCCATCTACATTTTTGGTGCTTAAAATTTTCTTTTAAGAGAATTGGTTTTGAGGTACATATTAAGGTGAGGTGTACATAAAAGGTTTCAAGGCTTAGGTTTTTCTGAAGAACAAGATTGCGCCTCAAAAGTCAACTGTATGCCTTGAAGCAATTTTCCTGTATTTCTATTTTTTTTAAATGTGATTGCAACTTAATAAAAGGCGCAACATTTTTCATTTACTAAAAAGCGCAGTGTTTTTCATTTCATAAAAGGCCCAGCGTTTTTCATTTCATAAAAGGCCCAGCGTTTTTCGTTTCATAAAAGGCCCAGCGTTTTTCGTTTCATTAAAGGCCCAGCGTTTTTCGTTTCATTAAAGGCCCAGCGTTTTTCGTTTCATAAAAGGCCCAGCGTTTTTCGTTTCATTAAAGGCCCAGCGTTTTTCGTTTCATAAAAGCTGAAGTGAAGTTAATTTGTAGTATCAAAAGTGGAATTAATTCTTAGAAGAAATATTGAAGTTGTGACATAAATGTTTAACTAATGGGGGTATGCTTATGGACAGGTGATGCATTTGTGGGAGGATTCATCTCACAGTTGGTCCAGGAAAAGCCGATTGCAGAATGCATTAGAGCAGGTTGCTATGCAGCAAACGTTATCATCCAGAGACCTGGTTGCACCTACCCTGAGAAGCCTGACTTTGAGTAATAAAGCCGGCTATTCATTCTCTTTGGTGGCTGGCACCAGCTTTTATTTACTTATATTATAATTATTGAGAGATTCTTGGAGTACGATTCATTGGAGGGATTTGTACTGACCTCCAATTCACCCAAGTACCCAACCTTATTTTTCATTTCACAAAGGAGAACAAGCCAGCTCTCATTCAATAAATTGTAGGGCGTTGTAATGTTGTATGTTTTAATGTTCAGTGGAGCCATGTTTTGGATAATCTACACGAGGCTCTATGTTCCTTGTCCATTGCCTACTTTTATCATTCAATTGCCTCGGTGATTATAATATTATATCATACTGGTAACTAGTGCTACTATACTAAATGAGCCTGGTTCGAACTTGAGCAAGTGTGTCAAGTTCGAGACTTCGAGCTGTTATATTTGTAATCCTAATTCTGGTTATATTTATCCATGATGTTAAATGCTTAGATCGGAAGGTAAAGCAAGATTAAGAATAATTTAGGTCTGGCCCGTTTCAGCCTTTATATTTTGGTTTGGGCCTGTTTTAGAAAAGTCCAGTCCATTCTCTATATCTTTGACCCAGCTCTTTTGATTTGCATATAAGACGTCTCCTTCCTTCCTTCTGGAGATATCTTTTGCGTCATTTGAAACCCTAAGTCCAAAAAGGCGAGTCTGAGAGCTTGAGCGTTGAAGAGAGAGAAACCTCTGGTTTTTTCTTCTGTTCGTTCGATTCTACTTCACTTGAGGTCAAAGCAAGCTGAGAAAGGTTGGAGATCAATCGTGTGGAGAAGCTGGAACGCTGGGCTGTTGGTTCGATTCCAAGAATCTGATACACCTGGGTTTCTGAAGCTTTGTTCGGTTATTTCTATTCCTTTTACTATTTTAGTTGTATTGCTTGAGTTTTGGCTGATTCTTGTGTGTTGGATCTTATTGATTTCTGGTCTTGCTTTGCAACCATCTTTGTATTCAAACTTTTCTGAGCTAGTGGATTCTTGGGACCGGGTTTCCCCTGTTGAAACCCCGCAGAGTAGGATTTATCCGAACTGCGTCAACATATCGTGTGTTCATTTCTTTATTTTCTGTATTAGTTGAATAAGAGTTGTGAATCCGATATTTTGGCTGTGACTATCAATATAGTCTGTGAACAATTTTGGTATCAGAGCCTATACTTTAGATTCTTGAAACCCTAATCTAAATTTCTGATTTGATTGAGTTTTTTCAAGAAACCCTAATAATTTGGCTTGCTGTTCTTCGATCCTGAAACCCTAGCTCAAAACTGCTTGAATCTTGATTGCATTTCTGTTGTGCTTGTCTGATTGCATCCTGACTGTTCTTTAATCTGCAAACATGTCTGACACTGGTATCAAGATCCGTATCTTTGATGGTACCAGTGATTTTCCCATGTGGCAGCTTAAGATGAAAGCTCTCCTGATGAAGCAGAAATGCTTTGGAGTTGTCTCATCTGATACTGTTCCCAATGTGTCTAGTTCTGATCTGACTGAATTGAAAAATGCTGCATATTCTGAATTGATTATCCATCTATCTGATAATGTGGCTAGAAAATTTTCTACTATCACTGACCCTAAAGTGTTATGGGATACCCTTGAGTCTACTTACATGAAAAAATCTATGTCAAGAAAGATCTCTCTGCTCTGTAGACTGTTTACCTTTAAGATGAATGTTTCTGTGTCCTTATCTGAAAACTTGGATAATTTTCTGAAATTGACTCAAGAAATTGAAAAGGTAGATGAAAAGATAAAAGACACCCATCAAGCTGTTATCCTGTTAAATTCTTTACCACCCCAGTTTGATAATTTCAAGGATGTCATTCAGTACTCTAATGATGATCTCACCCCTGGTAAGATCACTGATGCTATACTTGAGAAGAATGAATCCCTGAAAGTTTTTAAGTCTAAATCTGATCCCTTTAATACTGATAAAGCTGAGACTAAGAATGAAGCCCTGGTTATTAAAGGGAAACCAAAGAACAAAAAGAACAATTCAAAGAAGAAGAATAAAACTGATAAAGATAATTCTGATAAGAAAACCTTCAAATGTCACTACTGTGGCATAGAAGGACATTTTGCAAGAGACTGTAGGAAAAAGAAAAGGGACAAACAAGGTGATAATAAGAATAATCCTAACCCTACTCCTAACACAGAATCTGCAAATGTTTTTCAACATGAATTGCTTGTTTGCTCTGGATCTTCTTTGAATGATGAATGGATTTTAGACTCTGGGTGTACATTACATGCCACTCCTAACAAGACCTATTTCTCTTCCCTGACTCAAAATGATGGGGGAAAGGTCATGTTAGGAGACAATACTGCCCTTGATATCAAAGGTGTTGGTAATGTTCCGCTGAGGATGTTTGATGGGGTTGTAAGGGTTATCCAAAATGTTAGGTGGGTTCCCTTCTTAAGAAGGAATCTTTTGTCTGAATCTGTTTTTGATGATCTGGGTTGCACTATTAATACACAGGATGGGTATAAGGTTGTTTCCAGAAATGGAAATGACCTTATTAAAGCTAATAAGAGTGGGGGACTTTACTTAGTTAATTGCTCCCCTGAACTTAATTTAGCTGTTTCTGTTAATAATAGCACCACCCAGAAACAAACTGAGATTTGGCACAACAGATTGGGTCACATTGGGAATGTGGGTTTGAATAAGCTGTTTAAAACTGGATTTTTTGACTTTAAACCTGTAAACCTTGGTTTTTGTGAAAATTGTACTTTTGGTAAGAAAACCAGACATTCTTTTGAACAATCTTCATATGTTGCTTCTGCTCCCTTGGAATTGGTTCATTCTGATTTATGGGGACCTTCCAAAGTGAGCACAACTGGAGGTAGGAAATACTTTCTATCTCTAGTTGACCACTTTTCCAGGAAGGTGTGGATTTTCTTACTAAAAACTAAGGATGAAACTTTTGAAAACTTCAAGAATTGGAAAACTTTGGTTGAGTCTCAATCCAATTTTAAACTGAAAGCTTTGAAAACTGATAATGGTCTTGAGTTCTGCAATAATGAATTCAATGGTTTTTGCAAAAATGAAGGGATCAAAAGATTACTTACTGTCCCTGGTACTCCTCAGCAGAATGGCACTGCTGAAAGGATGAACAGGACCTTGCTTGAAAAGGCAAGGTGTATGCTCATCAGTTCAGGACTTGGAAATTCCTTGTGGGGTGAAGCAGTGGTTACTGCCTCATACCTTGTTAACAGATCCCCATCTTCTGTGATCAGTTTTAAAACTCCACAGGAAATGTGGTCTGGTATTAAACCAAACATTTCTCATTTAAGGCCTTTTGGGTGTGCTGCTTATGCCCATGTTTCTCAAGGTAAACTACAACCTAGAGCCTTGAAATGTGTAATGTTAGGTTATCCTGAGGGAATTAAAGGCTATAAGCTACTGGTTTTACAACCAGGGGCTTATAAGTGTATTGTATCCAGAGATGTTACTTTCAATGAATGTGATTTTCCTTGTAAAAGAACTGATACTACTTCAAGTAAGTATGCAGGTGTTTCTGATGGAAATTTCTTTGAATCTTTGGATGATGATGACTCTTTGTATAAAGAGGATCATAGTGGAATTCTCCACAATGATGCAAATGATTATTCAGAGTCTGACACAGATCAACAAGATGACCTCAATGGAGGTGAACAGGTAGTGGTGAGTTCAGACTCACAAGGTAGTAACTCTGGTTCTCATACTACCTCTGTGCATGAACTAACTGATACTGCTGTCAATGATAATGTGCATGTTGATAATAATGACACTGATAATCATAGCACACCAAATTTGGCTGACTATCAACTGGTTAGAGATAGAGAACCTAGAACTATTATTCCTAATAAAAGATATTTCTCTAATCTTGCTGAATTTGTGATGATTGCTGCTGAAGTAGTTAAACAGTTAGCTCCTGATAACTTTGAACAAGCTATGATGTGCCCTAAGTCTAATGAGTGGATGAAAGCCATGCAGGAAGAACTTCAGTCCATGTACTTTAATAGGACCTGGACTTTAGTTCCTAAACCTAAAAATGATAAAGTAATTGACTGTAGGTGGATTTTTAGGTTAAAAGATAGTCTTGATCCTACAGAACCTCCTAAGTTTAAAGCCAGGCTTGTAGCTAAAGGTTTTAGACAAAAGGAAGGTATTGACTACCAAGATATCTTTGCACCTGTTATAAAATTCAAAACTTTGAGATTAATGTTGGCTATAACCACTGTTTTTGACTGGGAGTTGGAGCAAATGGATGTTAAAACTGCTTTTTTGCATGGAGACTTAAAAGAAACCATTTTCATGTCTCAACCTCCTGGTTTTATCAACAAAGAGTTTCCTGAACATGTTTGTCTTCTTAAAAAATCAATCTATGGACTTAAACAGTCTCCCAGACAATGGAATTTGAAGTTTGATTCCTGCATGAGTGAACTTGGTTTTTTAAGGAGTAAATATGATACTTGTCTGTATTATAAACATGTTGGAACTGAAAATGTTGTTTATATCCTGCTGTATGTTGATGATATTCTCTTAATTGGTCCATGTAAAATGTTGATTGTTAGTGTTAAGGATGATCTGAAATTGCATTTTGACATGAAGGACATTGGTTCTGCCAAGAGGATTTTGGGAATAGATATCACTAGGGATAGATCTAATAGAAGCATGTTCTTATCTCAGGGTGATTACTTGAATAAAATCTTGGATAGGTTTAATATGAATAACTCTAAATCAACCCCCTTACCCTTAGGAGGGCATTTAGAACTCTCTAGAGATCCTTGTCCTATGACTTTAGAAGAATCTGAGAAAATGGCTAAGATCCCCTATGATGTTGCTTCTGGTTCTCTTATGTATGCCATGCTTTGTACTAGACCTGATCTCGCTTTTGCTGTTAGTATACTTAGCAGGTTTATGTCTGATCCTAGGATCAAACATTGGACTGCTATGAAATATACTCTAAGATATTTGTCTGGTACTAAAAACCTTGGTCTGAAATACTTTAATGCTGATTTGTGTGATCTGAAAGGTTTTGTTGATTCTGATTATGCTGGGTGTAAAGACTCAAGAAAATCAACCACTTCTTGGTTCTTTACTTGGGCTGGTAACTGCATATCTTGGAAATCTCAATTGCAATCTGTAGTAGCTCTGTCTACTACAGAGGCTGAATATATTGCAGCCACTGAGGCTATCAAAGAAGCAAAATGGTTAAAAGGTATTCTGGGTGAGGTATTGGGGACAAGCATTGTTCCTACCGTCTTCTCTGATAGTCAAAGTGCTATATATTTGTGCAAAGACCCTATGTATCATGAAAAAACTAAACACATAGATGTTAGATTTCATTACATTAGGGATGAGATTTCTAAAGGCAACATAAAAATTGATAAGATTACTGGAGATGTTAATCCTGCTGATTTTGGTACTAAAATTGTTCCTGTTGCTAAGTTTTTGTTTTGCAGGCAGTTCTTCAAAGTCTTTGAAGTACCTTGAACATGAGGGTACTTGTTGGGTTAATGATGAAAGGGTATAATCTGGTCTCTTGAATCCTGATACTAGCAATGATGATAAAAGCTCTAATGAGCTGTGCTGCACCAGAATTGGTCTTAGGAGGGCAAATTGTTATATTTGTAATCCTAATTCTGGTTATATTTATCCATGATGTTAAATGCTTAGATCGGAAGGTAAAGCAAGATTAAGAATAATTTAGGTCTGGCCCGTTTCAGCCTTTATATTTTGGTTTGGGCCTGTTTTAGAAAAGTCCAGTCCATTCTCTATATCTTTGACCCAGCTCTTTTGATTTGCATATAAGACGTCTCCTTCCTTCCTTCTGGAGATATCTTTTGCGTCATTTGAAACCCTAAGTCCAAAAAGGCGAGTCTGAGAGCTTGAGCGTTGAAGAGAGAGAAACCTCTGGTTTTTTCTTCTGTTCGTTCGATTCTACTTCACTTGAGGTCAAAGCAAGCTGAGAAAGGTTGGAGATCAATCGTGTGGAGAAGCTGGAACGCTGGGCTGTTGGTTCGATTCCAAGAATCTGATACACCTGGGTTTCTGAAGCTTTGTTCGGTTATTTCTATTCCTTTTACTATTTTAGTTGTATTGCTTGAGTTTTGGCTGATTCTTGTGTGTTGGATCTTATTGATTTCTGGTCTTGCTTTGCAACCATCTTTGTATTCAAACTTTTCTGAGCTAGTGGATTCTTGGGACCGGGTTTCCCCTGTTGAAACCCCGCAGAGTAGGATTTATCCGAACTGCGTCAACATATCGTGTGTTCATTTCTTTATTTTCTGTATTAGTTGAATAAGAGTTGTGAATCCGATATTTTGGCTGTGACTATCAATATAGTCTGTGAACACGAGCTCAATTTGATAATAAAAAACTCATGATATAACGCGTCGAACTC